TCCGTCTGTCCGTCTGTCTGCCGTCCTGATTTTTATTAGACAGATAATCTCCTAAAGTACTGGGCCGATTGTTGTCAAATTTTGTATTTATATTAGGGATACAGATGGTCAAACGCTAACAAAAACATGTTTAATCATGGCCACCAATAATGTAATGACGTCATTTCAAAATTGTACATAGAAAATGGGTTTTAAATTGTATAAAAGAACCTAGTGCTACACATGTGGTTTATGACTCCGTGTTGAGTTTTTACCTAAGACGCATATACTTTAGGAAAAAAAATCAAAATTATAAAACCACATTTTGCAATTTTATTTTGAATCTGCCAAACTGAATGCTTTGAAATCTTGCAGATGTTTTAAAATGATGATAAGAATGATACATTTTTAATCAAAATATATTTGCGTATCCCTTCCAAAAAATTGATGAGGTCATCTCAAAGATTTTGCCGGATAAATTCTATCTAAAATGTGCAAAATATGATCAATTGATCAGTGTGTAACTTATCATTCGATTCATATTTTTTGGATTTGCATATATAGTATTTGCCATTTCTATTGAAACACCACCTGTTGATTTTGCCTAAAATTTAGCAATTGCTAACAGTTTTCGGTTGATTGACAACGGCTTTTAGTTAGAAAATTGTGTGAATATGAACGTTGCCAAATTTACGATCAACAAGTGGTGTTTCAAAAGAAATGGCAAAGACTATACTCAAAAAAATTAATGAATGCGTGAATTTATTTTATTGATTTATTCGGGGTCTGCAAAACCGAATGTTTTGAAATTTTGTAGATCTTTCAAAGTTATCATAAGCATAGTAAATTTTTGATCAAAATATCCCCCCCCCTAAAAAAATGATAACGTCACCTCAAAATGTTGCTGAATAAATCCTATGTTACCTACAGGGTGTCTCAGACAAATTAATGACTGAGTTCTTAAAAAATAAATATCCAATCAGATTTAGGAATTTAATTCGTTACTATGAAAATATGAAATTTAGCACTTTTTAAATTTAACAAGTTTTTACTAGTTTAATAGGGGCAAGATCAGTCTTATCTTAGCAAGTGCTAGCACCGCCCATCCGGCCTCTATTTTCTCAGAGGGTATGGCATTTGCCAAAATCAGTCTTATCTTAGCAAGTACTAGCCCCGCCCACCCACCCTGTATTTTTTCAGAAGGTATGGCGTTTGCCAAAATTAATCTCATCTGAGCAAGTGCTAAGCAAGGGCGGGTAGGCGGAGCTAGTACTTGCTAACATAACCCTTATTTTGGTAAATGACATCTCCTCTGAGAAAATAGGGGGCGGTGGGCTGTAAAAAAAAAAAAAGATAAGATAAGAGTGATTTTGGCAAATGACATATCCTTTGGGAAAATAGGATGTGGGCGGGCCTAGTATTTCTTAAGATAAAACTGATTTTGCCCCTATTAATCTTATGAAGTTTAAAGGTGTTAAATTGCAGATTCCTGTAGTAACGAATTAAATTCCTAAATCTACCCGAAATGTGCAAAATAGTTTTTACGTGTGATTTATCATTGCATTTATATTTTTTAGATTTGCTTATACAGATGGCTCAAACATATTAATGAATATGTCAATTTATTTTATTGATTAAATCAGAAACGGCTCACTCGATTTTTTTTTTTCTCAGAAAATTTTGGGAATACAACACTGTTATTTTTAGTATTATACTACACCAATCCAAGTTGTTAGACGGTCCTTGCAACAATGTTGATGATGTCATCACAAAATTCTGTAAAGTAAAAACTCAACTCAAAAATGCTGGATATAATTCACTGTACTTTAGGTACGAGGGAAGTTCTGTCGTCACAGCTTTCGACCTATTTTTTTTAACTGGTGAAATTTTTACATCACGTATTTTCAAAAATCAAAATCTCAATTGCTAATGGAAATTTTGGAACGGGGTTTTCACCACTGTTTTCAGTTTATGAAACTATAAACTTCATGGAAAACATTGCCGACTTTTTTGTTGGAAATGAGATACAGTGAAAAGAGTTTGTGTCGAAGAATCTTCTATTCTCTCTCATTTATCATATCTCATTCCGTACAAAAAAAGCCCACAAGGTTTTCCATGAAATATATAGAGTTTTATAAGTTAAAAACAGTGGTGAAAACCGCGTTCTAAAATTTCCATTAGTAATTAAAATTTTAAATTAAAAAAATACGTGTTGTAAAAATTTAACCAAACTAATAAAATATGATAGTAAACTGTCCCCGTGTTATATATTGAAATGTGTGGACATGTTATATTTAAAATTTCATAATAATAAGTTTGTTAATAACGGAGATATTGCATTCTGAAAATGTATAGACAGTCCATAAGCGCCAACATGAGGCCTTCTTGCAGATTCGGCGGTAGTCTTCTCAAGAACATATCTTACTTAATATTACATATCAGAGAGTCAGTTATTAGCTAACACACATGTTAATAAAAGTATTATTACTGATCACACCTGCAACATTTCTTTAAATATTACCTATTTAGATACAGAAAAAGTGATCGGATGAGAAGACGTGGCACAATTAAACAAGTCGAATGATTTTATGGCGTTCGACTTCGATTTTTCTAGTCTTCTCATCCGAACAATCGATTGCCAACCCCCTCTCCAACACGGATGACAAGCCCTTGATTACTGTTGTAGATTTACTCTAGACTTAATCATAATTGACAAGCTGGAGAGATCTCTGGTGAGAAATAGGAAATGAGATGAGTTTTTCAGACAATAATTTTAAAAACTGTGTGTGGAAAAGATTACGTAGTTTTACTACGATATTGGATAAAGAAAGAGTGTTCAGATGAGAAGCCTAGTACAATCAAGGTCATTGATTCTAACAAATATCGACAATTTTAAGATATCTTTACCAATTTTACCCACATTTCTCACCATTATAATATTTCTTACGTAACTACATTCCGTAAAGAGAAATTATGTATTATGTATTATATATACAAAGATATAATTTATGGAAACTAAAAACACGACAAAGCAAAATAATTTACTTTTACTTCTTTAGTTCAAAAATGCCTTTTCTGTGGCCTAAAGGAAAACGAACTTGATTTCACTTGACAATGCAAAGTAGACATTTGAGTCCGCAAATTATAACAAAGTAACTAGCATTCTTGTTGAATACAGCTAACAAGCACTCTTCTCAGACACTCACCTCGAATTATGCTACACCGGTCCGCAAGATTCCTAACCTAAATTTTCAGAGCACGATTTTCCGACATATTTCAAAAACCCAAATCGTTTTACGCATCACGTTTGGGTTAAAAAAATATACATTTTTTTTTTAATTATTGAAGTGTAGCATGTGTGTCACGTCGTAAAACTGCCATTACCAGCAGCGAATTGTGGAAGTATAATATCGAAGAAACCAGATCTACATATCGCTTTGTCTTTGTTAGACAGTGTAATTTTGCCTTAGCTAACCCTTTGGTTTACTACAGATAATTTATGTTTTTTTTCACTTACAACAAAATAAATTAGTGATTTTTGTTCAATTACCAACAGGGGGCTTTAAAAATGATATCTATAATCTTATTTATTAAATTATATTAATGTTTTTGAGACATCAATTTTTTAAAGGTGTAAATGAGTAAAATTTTGAAAAACATTTGAGGTAACTGTCTCTCTTTTAAATTACGTCCATTCAACGATTCTTCCTCCTTTAGATACGATTTCTACACATCTCTGGAAAAGTACCACTATGCAAAAATCATTATATTTTTTACCCAATGTACATAGATTTTGTAAAAACAAAATCACTGCTATTTGACTAATTTTAAAGGATCAGTGAACCGGGAATGAAAGAGCGCTAACTAGAAAAATAACGCAATTTAACTCCAAGAAACATAAATACGGTATTTAAAAGAACCTGTCATTAAAGTCATTACGGACGCCAATAAAACTGAACAGCTTCTTGGAAAGTGAATAAAATTTCTCAGGAATAGTTTATTCCTGGATTTAGGGCACTGAGACCCAGACAACTGTTCGACGAACGTATTATTACAGCTACGTTATCCAAGAAAGGACATTTTATAGGCCAATAAAATTGTGAAGATGTCTCCATAGGAGCGGCATACGAATAATACAATCATAGTGCCAGGAAAGTTTGCTTGCACTTAGCGTATTTACAGTCGAGAATTAACCTCTTGAAGACGCGAGTTCTATTTTAATCTAAAACTCACAAAGAACTTATCGTTGTGTATTTAACAACTATAACTTGTTTAACAGTATACCTAATGGCGTTTATAATTCACCTGAAATTGAGTGTTCAATCGATCCGGCACCTGAACTAGACTAACACTCTATGATGGCAGCAAATGCTTTCAGCAAACTTCATTTAAATAGCAGCCTAGGAAGAAATTCCGTGGAAACTTTGTTGTCCTTGTCCCAATATTTTTCTAGTGGCTGAAAGGCTTCGTAGTTTTCCATCGGCTTGTTATTACCATATTCCAAACTCGTTTGTTGCATAAATTGAAAATTTCTTTGTGGCCGTTAATTCGGGACTAATAAAAATCTACTTTTGCTTTGATGTTTCCAAATATACATTGATATTCTTCGAGGCAAAACTTCATTGAACTTTTATATAGCATAATAAAGCTTACGTCTTTTGCATGCAAATTGAGATTTCCCGATTGATACAAACGCTGGACCTTTTTAAAAATCAATATCAAAACTTGATATAAAGCGTTCGCCTCATCTGCCGTGTCCAATTCCAATTCCGGCGATACCGTCGCATTTAAATTCAAATTTTAGGTATCTTATTTATAATTAAATCTTTAAAAGCAAAAGTGGAGACTTCTTTGTTCCCAGCAAATGAACTGGAAATTGACAGGTACTTAAAGTTTCAACTTGTCACCCTCGAGCAGACAGTGTTCGAAGTTGGAGGAATTTGCAGACGGCTCTCTTGAATCAAATATCAAGCTCTCGGCTTGAATGCTGGACACTGACCGTCCCCATTTTCTTGTTTCAGGATTTCGTGCAAAATCTGTCCATTTTATCTAGGGGTTCTTTAGATGAAAAGTTGCGTTGGGCCTTCACTCTTTATGATATAAACGGAGATGGGTGCATCACACGTGAAGAAATGACGGATATTGTTAGCGCTATCTACGATCTGATGGGAAAAGTTTCAGAACCCTCCGTCGACGAAGACACCGTGAAGGAAAAGGTCGACAGGATATTTCAGGTGGGTATTTACTGCATTTCTTAATAAAAGTAACCCCTACAAGGAATAGATTTGTATAACAGTTGTAAAGTTACTTTCAGAACATAATACACTAAGCAACTAAGATTGCTATGCCACTGGAATGAGGGTATTTAGGCCAAAAATTTGATCTATTTTCTAAATTTTCTACAATTAAAGAACGCGGGATGCCGGTCTCAGGTACCTGCAAAAGTTTGTGACAACTTGTGACACTAATCAATAATATTAGAGGGATCTTTTTGGATTTCCCCAATTCTACAATCTGCGCTGGTTTTTTTAAGTATAATTTTGTTGTTTTTGTCAAGTTTGTACATTTTGTTTGTTTCATTACTTCGTTAAACAGATACCAAGCAAACAATAGAAAAAAAACTTATATTTAACATAATAAATTTCTGAAGCTAACGGATAGATAAATGTTGAAGTGAAGGCTGCTGAATAAAAAATTTCGATGATATCGAACACGTTCTACGCATATGAATGCTTATAGTGTCCGTGCCAGGTCAGGCTAGGTCAGGTTTTTATTTATTTTAACTAGTATTAAATATAATTATGTCTCTAATCCACAGGTTACAGGATCACGATCGAAGTTGTATGTTTGAACTACATATACTAAAATTATTTTCGATTCTACAGTGTTCTGTTTTTGAGATGCAACATATAGTTTAATTTTGTTAATGAAACACTATACAATTAATATAATATTTACTTATTTTTCAGATATTCACATCTCACTTTTTTCAAATAGATGATCCTGTATCTTCGTTTATTTTTTTTTACGCATGAAATAAATATAGATCCTGTCATTTTTCAATTGTTTTTATAGGTACAACAAAATTTATACTTAGAGAGAGCTAAAATACAAAAGAAAGATTTTTTTGTGAATGTCCAGTGTTAAAAAGTGTGTAGAAAATTTTAATAATTTGACAATTTTCCATCAGAATTTTAAAAACAAAACATGTTTTTAATTCATAACAAGAAATTAAGTAGGACACGTAAAAATATACCCTGTCCCAGATAAAATTCCACGACCTTGCGAATCGATGGAAATATCTAAATCTTGTGAACACCATTGTTTTTAGCATAAAGAGGGAATCTTATTTCGCTATATTGCAAATATGATCCACATATGCCTCATGACGCAAAGTTTTACAGGGTTTCTATAAATGCATATAAATGAAGTAGGTCATGGAAACGTGCCGTCTGTCATTTTTGGACTTTACTAAATGCCTAAGAACATACGACAAATACCACACGCATCTGTATAACTGGTTGCATAAATGCTTCATATTTTATTAATTTATTGTTGTTAAACATCACAGTAAATGTTGAAAATTTCAAAAATTTTCTACACACATTCATTCGTCAAAACCCAATGATCAACTTCATGTTGCAACAAGAGCTCCTGACTGCTGAGGAAATCTTCTCAAAAACGTTTTGCGAATTCTGTGCAAGTTATTTCAAATCATCAACAACTTTCTCAGATACTGAAGATCTTCCAGGAGATTTCCCTTTGTCGACCATGCCAGTTCGAACAAAATTTCGTACACAAGTACCAAAAATTTTGGAAACGACTATTTTGTTGTTTTGAGCTTGGATTGACGAGAATACTATAATTCACACTGGAAAAAAATTAAAATAATAAAAACGATGACTTTAAATGACAAGTTACAAATGACATTAATTACAAGTGAGAACTGTCATATTTAGGCATGATCTCAGCGAATCTGGATTTTTGAATGGCCAACTACGGCCTTAGAACCATGTCTAAAGACCCTGTATTTCCCATAGCTAGAAAAAGATGTACAACAACATGAGAATACACTATTACCACTGATTAAGTTGAACGTCATAAATCTTGGAATCGTAAAATATAAATATTTGTTAGGAAAATTAAGTCGAAAATGGAGACCTACTTGACGACCAGCTCGCAAGCCAGATTTAACAACCTTAGATTTATTTTTATGGCAATACGTAAAAAATTCGTCGTATTTGTTTATATCTACAAATTTGATTTTTTTAAGGGCTGAAAATTAAATAAACACATACCTGTTTTGTATAATTGTAATCGTAGAGTAATTATCTATCACAATACGTTACAAATATATACGTTGCAATTTATAAAAATATAGGTTTGCGTGGCGAGCCCATGTATGCGTTATATTTGCAATGTACTAAATTAAGCTTTCCCCTTCAAGCTAAAAACAACAGTGTTTACAGAATGTGAAAATTTCTACCGAATTTCAAGATATAAATTTGATCTGGAACATCTGCATACAAGGTTCTTTGGAAAAACATAACACTTTATATATGTAATTGACAATAATTTTAGTTCATGCTGCTCAAAGAGCCGTACAACTTTGGTTTTACCTATTTTAATTTTTAATTGTTAGCAAAATTTCGAGTAGCACGATCCTTGACTCACCCGGTATATTTTCTGATAGTTTTTAAAGTGTGTTCAAACTATACAGTTGACGCTTCTTTATAAAAAAAAGGTTAATGTTTGCGCTATTAAACTGTGAAACAATAAATTTATAAATAAGATATTTTTTAAAAACTGAAACTTATTTTCCAAATTGGAATGCTAATCAACAAAAAAATTCCCCTGTACCTTACCGTTCACCACACCGAGAACGCACCAAAGAAGATTAACAAAATATGATCAAGAAGCGACACTCGTGCCTCTAAATCTTGAATACAAACTAACCTAACCTCCAGAATCAACGTCAAGACAAAACTAACTAACCAACTAGTAGAACTTGGATTTTCTATGGTTAGGACGGTTAGATCGGTGAAAATGTGTGTATGAAATAAGTGACGACAAATGTCTATTTTAAGAAATACGATGGACGCCTACAATAAACAAAGATAGAACAGTGCGATACAACTTTACTAAACACATTGTCTGTATAGTTTGGTGAACCTGCGCACTAGACATAGTTTTCTCCATTTGCTGACAGTGACGCTTCTTGTTCATATTTTGTTAATACTCTTTAAACGTACCGTCAAAACCGCCATGGAATACCGATAAAAACAGCGGTTGCGCCACCGCCCCTTTTTCTGATTACCATCCCGTCTGATGCCCGTTTTAGCGTCGTCGCCTTCCCAGGGTTCGAGACAGCTCCCTCGAATGAGAATTCTCCACCAATGGGGCCGTAGAACGATCATGACGAACTTTTAGTTGTTTTTGGCTGAATTATCCGATTTATTTCCTTCTATCGCGGCTGCTCATAAGACTCTGGAGAGCCGTTTTCCGCCTTAGGGTACCCCACGTGCTCCCTCTCCGGAGATGGAGCTGGCGCCCGAGCAACCGCTCCCGTAGAAGGCGCCAGGTGTGACTCAGCAGCACTAGTCGGTCGGTATAATTTTAAAAGATAACTTATTTCCACTAAGTAAAGCGCTGCTCAATTTTTCCTATCTTCACTTTACTAAAAATTTATAAAACAAACAGTTTTATTAACGCTCAAACCCTTGATACCCTTATCAATTTAACATGAAACAATTCAGTTTAAATCAGTTATTTGTGGAATATTCTGATATCGAAACAAAATGTTCTAAAAAAACAGCACGAGTGAAAAGTAGGTCGTTAACGGAATTTTTCAAATTTGCCCATAAAATATAACGCGCTTATAAAATCAGATTAATTTGTTTGAAATTTTTGTTCAATTTCATTCCAGTATTTCATGTAATTTTTTTTGTAAAGTGTTTCGCTGATAACATGTTTGTGAAAAAAACAAACAAAAAAAACCGCAATTTGTTTCTAGCAAACAAGTTATATGGAAAATTTGTTTGTTCTCTCAGAAAATTGAATATTGAAAGGGCGGTGAAAGCAATTTATTGTTATAAATATACAGATATAAATCAAATAGGTGTAGGGTCTAGATGAAATTGTGCTACTTCACGCAATCGGAGGTTTCTCGATTCGGGGATAATTGCGTGGCTCGGGGTAGTATTCACGTCACGGGTGCAGTGGAATTGCGGCTATTTGCGTAATCCGCTCATCGTAGAAGGAATTACGTCACTGGGAGTAAACGCGGGGAGGGACGGCGAAAATTACGTAAGCCCTGCCAAGTGCAATTCTAAGTTAGGGAGGGGGTTGGTGGAGTTATAGCCTCGAAAGGATACTACTGGAGCGACCAGGTACTAACGTATTTACGCTACAATATATAATTTATAATTTTTTATTTTCATCATTTGGTGTCCTCGGGGTACATGACAAATTTATTTGATCAAAAAAATTAACCGTGCTTTAATATTATCTTTATAGAAGTTTTTTTCGTGTTTTCAAGACAGCATTTTATTGATTTTTCGGCATACTAATATACTTTTTATTGGTCCAATTTCTCATTTAATTTCACCTTATCAACATGTGTGGAGCTGAATAAACTACTATTATTATTTATATTAACGCTTTCCTGTGATTTATTTGTCTCTAAAACTCACAATGGACTGGAAAGGCTAACTTCAACACATCTCGTTTGGAAACACATTAGATGTGGCGGCCTGTGGTCTAAATCTCATTTGGTGTTAATGAGAGAAATAAATTGATAGTTATACGAAGCGAATGAACATCTGACGTGAAAAATGTTATTTCGAATCCAGATTTAGTGGTGCGAACACAAACTTATTTAAAAAGCAGCGACCGTTAAATTTTTCTAATTTGAATTTGCTTATGCTACATCTACAGAATACCAAACTCTGTCGCGCAACTTTGACGGTAAATACTTAATCCAACGCTTCGAGTATCAAAGTTAACCTTTAAAGTAATTTAATTCGTTGAAAAAGTCTCCACTTGAAAACTCCCTCGCAGCCCACCATCGAACATTCTCCATACAAAGCGAGTCTCCGGGGACGCAGTGTCGAATGTATTTTTGCAATTTTTGATAAAAGAAGTACAAAACTTCATTTTATAGCCCGCCAGTGCTACCAGCGTCCTTTTCCGATGAAAAACGCGGCCTCTAGAGAAGCCAACGCTTCACACGCGACTGCAGATAATATCACCTGATATAATATATAAAATTCAGTTTCTAACAGTCCAACCTTCTAGAATTATTCAGCATGAACGGTCCAGCTAAGAGATATGCCTGGGGCGACCGTCCTGATAGCCCTCCACATTCTCATGAAATTTTACGATTTCAGAAAATGGATAAGAACAAAGACGGCGTTGTGACTCTGGACGAGTTCCTGGAGTGTTGCAGGAAAGACGAAGACATTTCTTCTTCCATGGCCGTGTTCGACTCATCGATATGACGTTCACCCGTCGGCGTTCGTCCACCTCCATCCTGGACATGAGCGAATGTCGACCCGGAATGCACACAATGACCAACGTAAACTTTAAATAATTTAAATGAAAAGTGATAAAATTAACTAACGATCTATGAAAAGTGACAAGCTACGGTGTGGAACGAATGACTTTTCTGGTTTGGACGGAATCGTTGTTGGCTGTCTTGTCTACGGCTGGGCCGGAAGTCGCTGGCCCAGCGTAGACCGGACCACATATCTTGGCACTTTGAGCTTAATCCCGATTCGTTGTGCACCGTCTGTTTGTATATTTATACCAAATTTCTTACAGTTTTTATAAAAAATGTGTAGATAAAAGTATATTTTAAATATATAAAAATATTAAACCTCCGATAAACATAGATTGTAGACTTAAAAAATGCGTAAACAGATGTACTCTAAAAGGATGTTATAGTTTAAATAGGTATGTATAACCTGCTGTGGTAAATCGTATTCGTTGTGTACCATTAGTTCTGGGTAACTTGTTTAATCTCACCCTTATGCAAAATTTTGACTGCTGTATCTACCCGTACTGTTAAGTCGCTTAAGCTATTTAAATAGTTGGTTGAAAAAGGTACCAAATTTTTATTTATTAGCAGACACTCGTGCCAATTTTAGTCCAGTCTGTTAATAAATAAAAGTATGCACACAGTAAACACGTGTACAAATGCTTCAGTTTAGTCTAACAGATAACACCAAGTTGCTTTGGATTAGGATCTGAAATAAGTTATATCCCTTGTTACTTAATCGACATAGATATTTTTATATTAGCCAGTTAATAATATCTACAGAATTGTGAAATTCGGTATAAAGCTTTTAAATCGTTCCCAAAGTGGGTATTTTATATTTGGGAAAAACTCTAGAGAAGTAAGTGAAGCGACTATATCATAAATTACTAGGGAGCTAGTGAGCCATATTCGTTAGACATATCTATATGTCATTATATAAATTTTAGATATTATTGTTGATAAATGTAAGACTGTTCGATGTATTAGATTCTAAATGTGTGATCCATGTTAGTCAAAAAACTGACAATATTTTGGTTAGAAAACGTTATATAAAACTAGCTTTTTTATTACGACGATTATTTTATAATGGAGCGTCTCTGGTGCTATGTACCAAATTGATGATGAGGATGACGATATTCTTCTCTTGTGTACCTATAGGTGTATATTTTTATTATTATCCCTCACTGTATCGAAATTAGTGCTGTGCCAAATACGAAAGTCACACATCAGTGACCTAGCGGTACAGAAAATCACATCTTTCGTGAGTAGGTTTCAGCTTACTGTTATTAACTATGATCGAAACTGATCAACACAGTACATACAATCTAAATCACTATATTTGTATAGGATAGAATATAAGAGTCGTCTTAATGTTACGTCGATGCATCATTGTTATGTATAATTATTGGTTGTATATAAAAAAGAGAATCTTTTTATGTATTCGTTCTTCCTGTTATCAACTTATTACCTTATAATCACAGCTTTAAATCGTTTTACGAGACTTCCCATATAAAGACTTAATCTTAACGTGTACAAGTCGACATATTGAATTGTGCTGCATTAATTGATCGCTTGCAACGTTTTATGTAATTCAGAATCTGAAACTGTCAGTTGTGTTTTGTTTTATTTAAAGTTTAAATTTTATAATTAGACACTGCTTTAATAAACGATATATGTTTAAATTTCGGTGGTTTTATTATAGTTCATTGTAGACTTAGAATACAAATATGCCACCAACAAAAGGATATTCAAAACTCGAAACCTGCCACATATTATACGCCCTACCCTGTATTCACAAACCAGCCAGCTATTTTCAAACTGCGTGTTCACCCGGACCTGAGTGTCTTCATGCATAGACAGAAATTTAACATTTAACATCCGCTTGAGCAAATGGCATGAAAGAAAAATCGACAGCTTTAGAAAACTTGTCCCACTTTCACCACGTGATCTTGTATTTTTATGTACCAATAAAAAATGGGTCTAAAGTTGTTTCGACACAACTTCCCTCGTTCCTGAAGTACAGTTCACCAAATCAGGCTTCTTTTAGAAATTACAAAATTTGATTTTGCGAATTATTTTTTATTATAACCTCTAAAACAAAAAAAATATACGTCGATAAATCGCCCAAAATATTTTGCACATTTTAGATTGAATAATCCAAGAATATTTTCGAGCTATTCGGTTTTCTACTTCCAAAGTTAACTTGTAAAATGTTATTCAATTTTGATTTGTTTTCCAAATCTCTGCATATTAAGACTAATAACTCAAAACGGATCCATAAACCAGAAGTACAGAGGCATGTTGCTTTAAAATTTAAATATTTATCTTTGTAAAATTTGGGTCATCCCATGGTAATTGGACAAATTTTGGTTAATATGTACTATCTGCACGATATTTATAACATACATCTAAAATTTGACAACAATCGATTCGCCAGTTTGTAATAAGACAGACAGACTTAAGCAGGGGATCTACAGATTCATACTCCAAAAGACATTCATCGGATAGATCCTACCAAAATACTTCCGTAACTTACGCTCAAGAAGTAAAAATATATTTTCCAACCATAACTGAATTATCAGGACGGAAAGAAGCGACATTTAATTACTCCACACACTGTAAGGAATTTCAATCAACAAAGAATTTATATGCTGTTAAATTATGCATTAATTCAAGATTTTCTGCGTCACGGACGGAATTCCCATATCACGTAAAATAAAGCACTTATGAAATAAACATAACAACTTAAGTAAAAACCTAGATATCGTTATTAAACTAAGTTGAATCTGTCTGAGTGAATTTTGGCCATGTATTTTGCGTGAAAATTTCACTAGAACCATGAACGGTTAAAAATCCTAACGTAATGTCGGATTTATAAACTTGCTCTTGACGCTGAAGTTCTCGTTGATGTTGCTTTTAGAGCTGAAAATTGTCATTTATATACTTCGTTGCTAAGTTGCCGTTGATAGTAACGATGTTCAACTTTTGCGTATTTAATATTTAAAGGGGTTGTAGATGAAAAGTGGAGGATTTAAGTTGATTTCTACAAACATTTACCGTATTAGACATGTTTTAAGTTTCTTGTTGTCGAAATAAGTCTACACATATTAAGAAAAAAAGGCAAGATGTAGCCCCGCCCACCCGCCCTATCTCAATTGTAATGATTTTTTCTATTCGTTGTGAGCCAAGGGGGCGGAGCTTAACTGCAAAATTCTTATTTCTCTAAGAGAAATTAAAAATGTTTTTAAGTGTCGTGTTGTTCAAAGAATACTATGTAGACTATGTACTTATAATATGAAAAAAATAAAGCTAAAGATTAGGCGCTACCCATACCGCCCCGACCTCAATCCTCAATTGTGATGAATTTTTCACTCGTTGTCAGATCGAGGGGCGGGGCTTAATTGCAAATTCCATATTTGTCTGTAAGAATTTACCATTTTAAACTTATTCTGAAAAGACGACTACGTACGAGTATATTAAGAAAAAAGACAAACTATAAGCCCCCCCCCCTATCTCAATTGTGATGATTTTTTTTTAATCGTCGAGAGCCTAAAACGAGGGGAATTTAATTGCAAAATCCTTATTATTTCTCTAGAAGAAATTAGCATGTAAGACATGTTTTTGAGTATCGTGTTATTGAAAGAATACTAACTATGTATATTAAGTCAAAATTAGAGGCACAGATTAAGTCGTCCCACCCATACCTGCCCTGATCTAAATAGTAATGAAGTTTTCATTCGTTGGCAGACCTACAGGCGGAGCCTAATTGAAGAATCCATATTTCCTTATAAAATTTTACCATTTTGAACGTATTTTAAGTTTCTAGACATTAAAAAAATCATCAAAATTGAGATGGGATGGGTGGACGGCATTTATATTTTGCCTTTTTTTTAATATACACAGTATTCTTTGAACAACACGATGCTCAAAAACATATTTTTAATTTCTTGTAAAGAAATGAGTGTTTTGCAGTTAAGCTCCGCCCTCTTGGTTTACGGCAAATAAAAAACAAACATTACAATTGAGATAGGACGGGTGGGTGGGCTTACATTTTGCCTTTTTGTTTTTGTACAAGGAAATGTCGATTTTGCAAATAGGCTCCGCCCCATAATTGCAAAAATTCATACTTCCTTGCAAAAATCTACCATTTTAACCATGTTTTAAAATTCTTGCTGTGAAAAGAGATGGCTATGTATATTAAAAAAAAAGGCAAAATGTAAGCCCCAAAAAACCCACCCACCCTATCTCAATTCTGATGACTTTTTTTTATTCGTCGTAAGCCGAGGGGCGGAGCTTCGTTGTAAAATTCTTATTTTTCTACGAGAAATTACCATGTGAAATATGTTTTTAAGCAATCGTGTTACAAAGAGAATTAAATGTATTAATTGAAAAAGGAAACCAAGAGAGACGCTCCATCCATCTGTCTCGATCTCAATCGTGATGAATTTTTCATTCGTTGTTGGACCGAGGGGCGGAGCGTAATTGCAAAATCGATACTTTCCTACAAAAATTTACCATTTTAAACAGGTTTTATCTTACTTGTTGTGAAAAGAAGACTACGCATATTAAGAAAAAAGGGCAAATGTAAGCTCTTATAGTTATAACAACTAATATCTACGTTTTTGAGACGAATAGCAATAAATCTTGTTGATACGTGATGGCGGCACAATAACACGTTGGTAAGCGGAGAAAGATAAGAAAGATAAGCGACCTCGTGGTCCAGTGGTCAGGATACCTGCCCGGCGAACGGGGGGCGTGTGGTTCGATTCCCACCGAGGCAGCAACATTTTTCTTCGTTTACCTTCATTGATTTAAATGTCGAGAACTATCTTTAACAATGCGTAAGTACTAGCAGAAAGCTACAGTGTAGAAAATGATGGCAGCTATTTAAAATATGAGGGTTTCGCTGAACAGGTTTATAGAACAGTCAATTAAATATTTAATCCTCGATTAATTTAACACAGGATTAAAATGTGGAATATGAGCCCGTGATTGGTTAAAACATGCACGTTTCCTAGCAACGGAGCTCAATTAAAAGTTAATTTTCAGACTAATGAAAGCTAGTTTTCGCCTAAATTACTGTTTAAAGTAACCTCATTTGACATACACCTGTTAAAACTGTTATACGTGTGTATTGAAATACATTCTAGAGTCGACTGACTTTTTATTAAAGTAAAGATAAACTCTTTTACAAAAACTACAAGAATAAAAACTTATACATTTATGACATCTCCCCTTTTAACTTAAACAATTTTCTCTAAACTATAGTACTACTATTTTGTTATTTAAATCTACCATATGTTAAACGATTGGGCTGCTTTATTACCCTTCCGCTTGATGTTTGCTCTGGTACTACAAACTTTTCATCTTCTGCAACATTTTCTTCTTCCTCTGAATCCTGGCTTACATCTATCACAGAACTGTCTAAATCATTACTACAAGATGCCTGATTATCTGTTACATTTTCAGAATTCTGAGGATCCTCTACATTACTTAATTTAATAAATTTTGTATTTCTAGTTAACATATTTCCATCATCAAATTTAATATTATATGACCTTGGCCTACATGTGGATTTACTCGCTATAACACCTTTATTCCATTTTTTCTCACTTAATCTATTTTTTACCAATACATGTTGGTTTCGTTTAAAATTAGTACTTCTACTTCTTACATTCCTATCATAATAATATTTTTGTTTATTCTGTCTTAAACAAAGATTTCTTCTAATTTGTGTATAATTGTTTTTTACAGGTTTTAATAACGAATCATGAACAGGCAAAATATCTTTAAGTCTTCTTGACATTAGCAATTGAGCTGGAGATTTAATTTTATTATCAAGAGGTGTATTTCTATACATTAACAATGTTAGATAAAAATCTTTGTTGTCACTTTTAGCCTTAATTAACATTTTTTTCAAAGTCTGTACATTTCTTTCTACTAACCCATTAGATTGAGACCAAAGAGGACTTGAAGTAATATCTTGGAACTCCCACGCATTTGAGAATTTCTTGAATATTATACTACTAAACTGAGGTCCATTATCAGTTATGACGACTTTAGGAACCCCATGTCGCGAAAATATTTTTTTTAATTCAATAATTATTTGTTCTGATGACTGGGAATCGATCAATTTCGCTATTTCAATGTATTTTGAAAAATAATCCACCACTAATAAATAAACGTCAGTTTCAAAATAAAATAGATCACATGCCACCTTTTCCCACGGCCGATTCGGAATTTTATGTTATTTTTTCTAGCAATGTCTAAAACTTGTTTCAATATTCTGTCATGTTCTGTCTGATTATTTGCATAAATTAATATATCATCGATATAAATTTCTACTCCTGGAATCTCAAAAATTTCCTTAAATTTTTTATGAAATACTTCTGGAGCACAAGTAAGACCAAATGGTAGACGTAAAAATTTATACCGTCCAAACGGTGTGGAAAAAGTGCATAGATCCGAACTTTCTTTATCAAGTGGTATTTGCCAAAACCCTGACATAGCATCTAAATTCGAAAATACTTTTGCACCTGCTAGTTTACTAGTTAGTTCCTCAAAAGTGGGTAACTGATAATGTTCTCGACAAATATTTTGATTTAAATTTCTTGTATCTAAGCATATTCTCAAAGTTCTGTCTGGCTTATGTACAAGCACTATTGGATTAACCCATTCTGTTGGATAATCTACTTTAGAAATTATGCCCTCTTTATCCATTTTTTCTAAGCATGCTTTGAACTTATTAACAAGAGCAAAAGGTACTTTCCTTGGCGCATGAACTACTGGACTAATGCTACTCTTTAATTTAATTGTATAGGGATCCCTCAGACAACCTAAGCCTTTAAAAACATCGTTATAACTTTCTACTATTCTATTACAGCTAATATTATCAACCCGTTTAATTAAATTCAGTTGTATGCACGAATTAAGACCTAATATAGTAGGACATTCATCTCTTACTACACAAAATTCTAAGACATAATCATTTTCTTGGAAAGTACAACATAGCTTACATTTTCCTAACACAGGAACTCTTCTGTGGGTAAAATTAGTTATAATTAAATTAATGTTCTCCATTTTTTCTAAATCAAACCCTAAACTTTTTAATGTACTTTGACTAATGACATTAACCATTGCTCCCGTGTCTAGCTTAATTTTAATTTCTTTTTTTCTCTCGACTCTCATTACAATACTCCATTCTCTACAACTATTCTTTTTTTGTTTTTTACCTATTAAACCTACGAACACTTCTTTTATCTCATTTTCCACCGCATATACGCTTCTCTTGAAACACATTTTTTTAAAATGACCATAAGCACCACATTCACTACATTGTTTTGTATACGCTGGACATCGTTTTTTTTCATGATTGTAGCCGCATCTTTGACACATCGTAGTTTTGCTGTTGTTGCTGCCCTTTTTCGTTTTCCACCTCTTCTCACCTGCTCTTGACTTGCCATCACTATAACCACCAGCCCCACTTTCTTTACTACTGCACTTCTGTCTCGCTCGCACTATCCCTATCTCACCTTTTTCGCTGATTTCTTGATTTTGTTTTTGTGACTCTTCCACTGATAAGCACACCCTTATCGCTTTATCCAATTTCATTTCGGAATCTTCAAGGAGCCTTTCTCTCAATTTCTCAGAAATCAATCCACAAATTAAGACATTACAAATGAGATCATTCTCTATATCTCCCCATTTGCAATTTTTTGCCAAATTCTTCAATTCTGTTACGTAATACTGAGTCGTTTCACCTTGTGTCTGTTTTCTAGTCAAAAATTTGTGCCTTTGGTACACCAAATTCGTTTTCGGCGTAAAATATTCCGTCAACTTCTCGATTAAATTTCCGATTTTCCCTTTCTTATCCGCTTCTATCTCAAATGTATTAAAAATTCTCAAACCTTCATCTCCTATGTAATGAAGTAACTGTGCACACTGTAACTCTTCCGACTTCTTATTTGTTTCAGAGGCCACAAGGTAATTTTGAAATTTCTGCACCCAAAATTTCCAGTTTTCAGCCAAATTTTCCGACATCTCAAGTGGCGATATTCCTCGCATTTCACTCATTGTGAAATTTGATGCCGTTTTTCCTTAACAAAATCACTTTATGCATTCAAAATTATCGTCGCAGCGCCATGTTATACGTGTGTATTGAAATACATTCTAGAGTCGACTGACTTTTTATTAAAATAAAGATAAACTCTTTTACAAAAACTACAAGAATAAAAACTTATACATTTATGACAAAAACTTTTATGACTTAAGCGGCTTAAGCCAAACCACCCTTATTAGCCAAACTGGCTATTGTTTTACTTAACTCAGTTCACAGCTATATTATGCCAACAATGGACAGTAATAATCTTGCGGTTCGGGTCCACAAAGCTTACAATAGCCAGTTTGACTTATAAGGGTACTTTACGTTAAGCCGCTTAAGTCATAAAAGTTTTAACAGGTGTATGTCAAATGAGGTTTGTGTATTGATTTAGATATGCATATTTTATCAATTATTTAACTACTCAACAAACTACTCCCTACATGGAAATATTATAGTTCACATATTTAAATGTAGACATCTCACAAAATAGGGACAGAACGGATTCAGTCAAATTCAACAAACGAAATACAGCATGTCGATTATTGTCGTTTACACTCGAGGCGGAACCGAGAGTTTCAAAAAGACGAGAAATGCGATGGCGTCACGATAATGTGCAAAGAGTTGTTCAGCGAAGCGGCGATCTCACATGAAACGATGGTTAAAGTGCTGATACATCGAGTGCAAGGATGGGAGAAGAATGGATACGGAACTATTGGGGCGTCAATAACTGACACAGTTTTTATTGGATATTCAAGTGCTTGGAACATCTTTCCTTTTATAAAACTACATACATTTAGAGCAACCGGATGGATATCAATGTACAAATATTTCCATGAAAATAATTCGAACAGAGGTGAATTTAAACTTAAACTTCTGTGTTCAACTAGTTAATATCGTATGATGTAACATGTTTAGTGCAAGGAAATAGTGTAAGGTCCAAATGTTTCCTGATGTTTCTCAAGACAGTTGTTCAAAAAAAGCGAATATCAAATGGGTTTCAAAGATAGCTAATTATTTTGGTAATTGTAAGTATAATGTAGGAAGTCTAGGAAGGAAATAACATAAATTAATCAGATAGTGTGGTGACACTACAAAACTAAAAAATACACCATATATCTGTACCTTAATTATTTCTCATACAAATTCTGCAACAAATTTGAAATACGTATGATTGAATTTAGCTAACATTTCCGCATCTGATAAAAGTTCATATTTAAACAGTGGTTGCGTCATCACTATAAATTTATACAGTACTTGAACAAATTAAATATTTGTTTTTCATGTTGGAGTGTCTCCTCGATTCTACCTAAACGGTAGTTTAACCACTTTTTTCCCGTTCGTGAGATTATAGCCACATTACCTAACCGAAGTAGCGTCATCTCTTCACTCTGCCCTACACTAACCACTTCCACCGACGTCATGCTTCAAATTATTGACGTTTGTTGCAAATGTCAACCTGACAGAAAGGGTTAGAATTTTTTTGCGAAAGAATGGCCGAAAGTAGCAGCGACGAAAGTGAAACCACATTCCAATTATACAAAGACCGAAAAGAATGGAAAGACGTCGTCCCTGTACCCCAAGATGACGGCGAACAGCCCATAGTTGCCATCGATTACACCGAACAATGTAAGTAGAACGTACCTAACCTCAACCTACCACTACAAAATCTTCCAGTTAAGGACGTTTTCGACTACTTCCGCGCAGTTTTGCAAAGCGGAGAGAAGTCAGAGCGGGCCCTCGAACTCACCAAAGATGCTGCCGCTCTCAATCCTGCGAATTACACAGTGTGGCAATACAGGTACCTGTAATTTTAGGGATGAGCCGGTTTTCAATTTTGTTGATTTAGGCGAGAGATTTTGAAAGCTTTGAACAAAGATTTGAACGAGGAGATGGATTTTATTGAGAAGATTATCGTTTATAATCAGCCGAAAAATTACCAAGTGTGGCACCATCGGAAAGTGATAGTGGAGTGGCTGCAGGAGGCTTCGAAAGAAAAGTATTTAACGGAGACTGTTCTGGCCAAAGATGCGAAGAATTATCACGCGTGGCAGCATCGTCAGTGGATAATCAAAACATTTAAGTTTGTAATATTTTCCAACTTGTTATAATCTTATTAATTATAATCACTTCCAGTTTGTATGAAGGTGAATTGGAATATATTGATAGTTTGATTTCTGATGACATTCGAAACAACTCAGCTTGGAATCAACGGTATTTCGTTGTAATGGGAACTACTGGGTTCACGGAAGAGGTTTTAGACCGAGAAATAGATTACACACTTTCAAGCATTAAAGTAGTCACAGAGAATGAGAGCGCGTGGAATTACTTAAGAGGGTAAGACTTAAGTTAATATAAAACTCACCATTTTAATTAATGTAAACTTATTTTAGGGTACTTCTGCATGATAAATGTGGACTTAGTCGTAACAAAAAGGTGACAGATTTTTGTCAGGATTTATACAACTCAGGTAACCGCTCTCCATTTTTATTAGCGCTCATTGTCGATATGTGTTCAGAACAAGTGTCACAAGGTAACAAGGACCCGCTTTATAACCTAGAAATGGCAAAAACTTTGTGTAAGGAGCTTGCTGAGAAGTATGATACAGTTAGGGCTAAGTATTGGGAATATATAGCTGAAACTGTTGACAAAAAATCCAATAAAGAAGATTCTCAGGTTGACGCAGAGCAGTAATTTTTTTATTATGTAACTTCCACAAGCCATCTTTTTTCTGTGATTTATATATTTTTAACTTTTTTTTTTGTAAGAACGTCTATTGAGTTTTGTTAGTTAATTAATATTTTGGGACAACAAATCCTGGTTGAAATTTCTGTTTCAATATGTAATTGACTTAATTTATATTTTTCACAGCATGTATTATTGTAGTTATATATTCACTATGATTATACAATTATTATTATTATCATGTTGTAAGATGGTTGCTTATTGGTGCTTTGACCATTGTCAAATTTAATTGTAACAAATAAAAGGTAAAAAAAGCTTCCATCGGAATGAAATATTCCATTTTGTGTGTACTGTGTGTTTTATGGTACTTTATTACATGCATACAGGTATTTATTAAATTATGGATGGTGTTACATTTTTCCTACTAAGTGAAAGTAAGGTTAGTAATTTGAGGTGTGAACCCTTTGCACATACTTTTTTATGTTTGGATAGTGTATTATCCAATAAAAGAATTTGTATTTTCTGGTTATTTTTATTTATTTATTTAAATAAAACTTACACTAATTTCCATTCATTTAGTCATGTGAGCTGCGCGCGCATTCTGTCAAAACTTTGACATTATTAATGTGTCCGCGCTGCTACTAGACTGGCGAAGTCTGATTTACAAAGCACCCTTTTTCGAATCCTGAAGAATTAATTCGAAACGTTGTTGTCAAAGTTAGATACAATAAACAGAAGTTCGCAGAAGATGATTTATCTCTTTTGTTTCTAAAAACGGCTGAAAATTTTTATGGGTGCGCGCCAACCAACAGATTTAAAGGAATGTCATTCAAAACATAACAGGTCTGTATTTACAAAATGTACATGTTGCGGAAATTAAATAAAAATAAAACTGGGATAATGAATCTGTACTCAATCAAATTAATTGGTTGGCAAGCTTTCATGGAGCCACTGGCAGTTGCCACCTTCAGAAAAGTCAGCAGCGGCGTGTCCACCTCCCGACAAGACCCATTTAGTAGTGAGAAGACCTTCCACACCCACCGGACCTCTGGCATGGATTCTAGCCGTACTAATACCAACCTCTGCACCCAAACCAAACCGAAAACCATCAGCGAATCTTGAGCTAGCGTTGTGGAACACACAAGCACTGTCGACTCGTTTCTGGAAGTTCTTTGCGACGTCGTCTAAAAAAACAACGTAAAGTCAACTGAGTCAGCTAAACCCGTAGCTTACCGTTTTCAGTAACAACGACTTCAGTGTGTCCACTTCCATATGCGTGGATATGGTTGATAGCTTCATCCAGGCTCTTCACAACCTCAATACAGCACTCCAGTGCGCCGTATTCGTGTTTCATGGTCTTAGCCAGAGGTGGCCCGAACGTGAGAATCTTGTTCAAAACCGGTCCCGCATTGATCTTCACACCTTCGTGCTTCAGCATGTTACATATATCCGAAAAGAAATCCCCTTGCATCAGATCTTCATGGATTAGTAGCGTTTCCATAGCATTGCAAGCCGCCGGGTAGTCGCATTTAGAGTCCCTGATAATCTTCAAGGCTTTAGTCAAATCCGCGTCTTTATCCACGTAGACGTGGCAGATGCCTTCGGCGTGCCCCATCACGGGGATGTGTTGGCTTTGGGCTTGAATGTTGCGAACTAGGTCGCTGGAACCCCGAGGGATGATCAAGTCGATGTGCTGCTCCATGGACAGCAAGTCACTAATTTCTTCACGTGTGGATACCTGAAAAGGCGAAAGTGTTCCTAAAGTGGACAGAATTCGTCTCTCGGGGTGAATTAAACGGTGTGAAGGAAGGCCGTTACAACGTGTCTCGTGGTCGTTCGAATCGTTGGACATGTCAGAAGGGTCCAAGTTTGAACTCTAAGGAATACTTTTAAATCAGGCCAATTCCGCTTAGCCACAAGGGTCGAGTGTGTCCCGTTCGCCTTAATTCCACTTTTTCACATCCTTTTCAACTGTCAAAGTGACGAAGATGTGCGAGAGGGGAATTTTATAGCCACCCGAAAGTGCAGAATCGTTTGAGGTTTCGTAGAAAATTCGTCGATAAAGCTGGTGGCGAAAAAAGGGAATAGGAATTGCAAATTTTCTGTTTATTTTATTTTTTGCACACAAACTAAGATAAAGTGGGAGACGTTTACTACTGAGCATCAATTTAAACATGAATTATGCAACTAAATTAAGTGTTTGTTTTCAAAGCAATAATATTGATAGATAGTTGTGGTGGTGCTTCTAACTGTTCTTTTTTGCTTTCTTTAATGCAGAGTTTCAGAATTAACTTTTGATTTAATTTTCCGAAGTTAAACAGGAAGCTAAACTTTAACAGGTCTTTCTCCCAAACCTCCACCCTCATCGATATTGCTAATACAAAGTGGGACAATCAATTAAAACTTCATAATAGAGCACTGTGCAAGCAAATAGGGTTGGGGTATTTGCATTAACCTCCAGAACTGAAGTTTTGATAGACAAATGGCAACAATATAGTTCCAGCTTCATTTTAAACATACATTTCAGGGAAAATGAAATTCACCAAGATGGGTAATTTTAGAGACAAATGGAAACAATTCTGTTTTTAACTCGATGTTTAATTAACGTATCTACAGAATTTGCAAAATAAGCTGGTAGGCAACTACATTACAAAAGTACGCCACGAAGTTTAGACATTTATCTCCAAGAAAATTGCTTAAAATACAAGCAACATATTTTTCTGGGAGTTTGTTCAACTTCTGTTCACTAAATGAACGACACTTATTAATGTGCTCTTTGTGTACTGGTACCTAAGTAAAATAAATAAACAAACATACAAAAATAATAGGATGAAAGATGAAACAATCTGAAGTTGACAAAAAATTAACTGCTGTTTTGCAGACACTCAGTAGATAAAAAAATATATTTGAGTTGTTATTCATGTATTTCGTAAATTTTAAGCCATGAGGACACGTACCTGTCTACTTTTTGGAGAAATACTATACTTTGAATTGTATTCGTGAAGGAACTTGCAAATAAACCTGTTATTAAACACTCATGAAAGTTTCCAAAGTTGTTTCGTATCACGCCATCATAACCTCGTATAAAGTCATTTTCATATTAGGTGACATGAATAACAAACGATTGTTGATTACAATTAAAATCACAAAAAACATGAGTAAACCAAAAGAATAAATGTAAGTGGTGATGACCACAATAGTAATGAAAAAAACTAGGCTACAGAGGGCAACTAAAAGTACAGGATCATCCTAAGAAACGGCTATATATGGTAATAGAAAGAATAGGGAAAGAATGGTAGCCAGAATAAAAGAAATGAGCAATATCTGATCATAATGAACGACAAAAGAAAGATTACTTGACAATAAGGAATGAAGTGTAACGAAAAATATTGTAATGAAGAATTTATAAAAAGGAAATATTCACAAACAAGAAATTTAAAGAACATAAATGTTGTTGCGACGTTACTGTTAACCCTCACTTTTTGACTAGTTCTTTCTGATTATTCATTATTCAATCAATTGATATTGCCATGGCTGAAGCGATTAAGTACTACCAAATTTTTCAAGCTTTCAAATAAAAAAAAAACGCATTGAAATCCCTTTGGGAGCAGTCAAAATTTGTTTTAATGCATTGAAGAATTTATTAACTAACAGAAAAGGAATCTAAAAATGTAAAGGTCTTCTGCGATACAATTTTAAATAATTCATACAAATCTGGAACCTGGGGTTAAGATAAAGGCAAAGGATAACAAATTTCAAAGCAGCATATTCAAAACAGGAAGTCTGAGACAAGAACAGTAGGAGAACTACTTAGAGAATAGCGGAATAGAATTTGTGATCACCTTAGATGAAGTTTGGATTTGCTTGTCTTGCATATATGATAAACGGTAACTGTGTTACAGGAGACTCGGTAGAGTTCTCGAGAGTCTCTATTTGTCTTCAAGAATTAATTTATGGCAATAACAACATCTGATAATTAAAATACCAACTACAACTAATAAATTGTTACTTCTGAAGGATTCAAGAAAATCATTGTCTCAATACTTCTATCTACTAGATCAGAAATCAACAGAACTTTGTCAGGTCTTCAGATGCTTCTTCAACGAACTTTTTCCCCATTTGGTAAAATAGAAAGTTTGAGAAAGGTCTGATCTTTAGAAGGTGACTGGAAATTTATGCACGAAAATAATCTCCAACTAAGCTGAATAGTGTCAAATATCAAATTCCAAGGAAAGCCCTTGGAATTTGAGATTTGATAGTAAGAGCTTCACTCTGGCTCCCACGAAACACCAAAATTTATTATACAAAGTGTCTGCATGTAGTGAAAACCATGTAAATATTTTATAGGCAGTAACGACGATGATAATCTGGGTGATAATAGTAATATAATAAAATCCTGCAACTACTTGCCTGCCCAGTTTAAAATATGACCAGCCACCACTAATAAGAACCCTGCTCGATTAGTTATCGACACTAGCAGGAAGGAAAATGAAATTGTGGCAACCACTTCACGGCGGCGTTATTAATTGCCTAAACCTGCAGCGGACGCGACTGCACTACGTTGAGGTAATTTAGTAAAAATGAACTCCAGAAGCAACGGGGCGATAAATATAGTCACGTAATACTCTCAGGTAATAGAAAATTGGCTAATTTTTTAACCAACAGTGTAATTTATACTGTGCGATCAAAAATGTGAATTAGCGTAAGCTTTTGGAACAATCGTTAGACTAATCACATTGTCTACAGAAACATAATTTCAGATAATGGGTATTATCTCTGTCCCTAATGCTTTTACCCTGAACAGCTCCACCAACGCATACTCTGGTGTATAGCTTGTACGGAAAGCGCCCATTGGCAATTTTTGTGCTTTGTTACTTGATTTTCAACTTTTGAATAAGTTTCACATATGTGAAAAATCCACGTTACTCCAGTGTATAGTGTGTCTTTGCGTTGTTTGAATGAACATTCCGATCAATGACAGCGGCGGAGCGCTGGAGGCGTTGTAGGTTTTTTTCAACAAAGAACTTCGTTGATTCAATGGAAATTGGTAATTTCAAAGTTTAAATTTCATCTAGTGACATTTATGTTATCGTTTCAATCTTCATTGAAGTTGTTGTTAGATGTGGACGAGTAGGACTGGTTTGTTTAAATCCATTATGTACATTCATTAGTGAGATGTATGTAGATATATGGGTAATTTTACAAAATAAAGTATCTTTTGTTATAAACGAAACATCGTATAGAGCTATATTATTTATTCTAATTGTGAACTAAAAAACTACCTTAATAATGTGACATGTTTTGAATTTTTTGTAGCTTTTTCAAATTTTGATGTAGGCTGTACATCAGACAAATCACGATACCAAAGGATCATACAAAAATTACTTTGGAATATTATTCACAAATGTGGTAAAAAGTGACCTTAAGCATTTCCAAAATATTTGAATTTTTTCCAAAATGTTACTGGTCAAAGGTAAAAAGGGATTTAGATATTTATTAGATATATCTAGCAAAATTTTTGAGATGACGTTATGAAATTGGTGGTGGGATGAACAAACAAATTTTGATGTTTTAGAGTGTTTAATAATAATAAGTCGCTATCAGAGCAACGACAGACAGGCGGCAACGGGAGTCCCACATTTGCGCATTACAATAGAAGCCATTAAACGTCGAGAAAACATGAAATCGGCCATTTATCAAATGGAACTTACACTCGCCTAGTAATAACAGATATTAACATTTTATGTAAAAGTGCTTGTTCCAATTACAAACTAGACATTGCTTTTAAAGCAATCTCTTTAGAAAAAACAAAGAGAAAAAAATATAGATGTAAAAAGCTTCATCCATCTAGAAAAATAGGAGCTTTATTGGTTTTATGATGTTTTAACGGAAAAATAAAAATTTTTAAATAATGTTTACGCTCGCTTCTGGCAAATTTAATTTCATATTTCAGATTGCTTATATTTATTCTGACCCACGTGACAACAGACAGTAGAATCAATAACTTCTCGATTGATTAAAACAAACACTAAAATTTGGAGCAAAATGAGGGTTAAAGTTCGTTTAAAACAAAAGCAGTCTGTATCTACTTGAATGATATAATTCTCTTATACTAAGATCGTGTTCAAAAAATATTTTAAGTGGATTTATTATATGTTGCAAATCTATATATCGTAGTAGAATTGAAACTTAAATGTGACAATATTAAAAATTTGCAAATCCACTATAAAAGTTGACGTCTAAATTCGTTTGTATATTATTTCCAGTGCGTCAAGCCGTTTAGAATTACTATTGATTCAAAAATTTACAAAAAACACCACCTGTTGAATGAGGTAGGTATCAAATAAAACTCCTCTAAAGCATATTTTAATGCTGGTAACTTGATAGTAAAAAAAACTTCAAATTTAAAATTTCCAACAGAAAATAAATAAAAACGTTGTTTGTTTAGAACTTCAACCATAGTCATCCTAATCTCAATTTTTTTTGACACCATATCTTGACACATATTTTTCTTTCTAGAGTTTTTAGTTAACATAATAGGTATGCAATCGTCATGTTTCCGATAGCGAGGGAAGTACTGTGTAAACTCTTTAGACCATTTTTTGTTTTCAATTATTCATAAAATAAGAAATATCGACTAAAATTTGACCCAATAAAGCTGATAAATCTGGAGATAATAAAAAATATAAAGAAAATCGAACAAAGAAATAGAAGATATGAAAACACTATGGGAAGATAAAACAAACAAAAAAATTGGTCGAAAGCTGTTTCCACAGAACTTCCCTCGCACCTAAAATACAATGAAACATATCCAGCATTTTCGACATGAGTTTTTTCTTTACACAATTTTATGATGACGTCATCAACATTTTTGCAAGGACACGTATATCAACTTGGATTAGTGCAGTGTAATCCTAAAAATAACAGTACTGTATTACCAAAATTTTCTAGGAAAACGAGTGAGCCGTTCCTGATTTAATCAATAAAATAAATTGACACATTCATTAATTTTTTGAGCCACCTGTGTAAGCAAATCTAAAAAATATTAATGTAATGATAATTCACAAGTAAAAACTCATAATATTTTGCATATTTCGGGTAGATTTAGAAATTTAACTCGTTACTATGGAAATTTGCAATTTAACACCTATTACCTATAAGTTTTTACAAGATTAATAAGAACAAAATCAGTTTATCTTAACAAATACTAGGCCCGTCCACCCGCCCCCTATTTTCCCAGAAGATATGTTATTTGCCAAAATCAGTCTTATCTTACCAAGTACTAGCCCCGCCCACCCGCCCCGTCTTTTCTCAAAGGATATGTCATTTGCCAAAATAAGACTTATGTTAGCAAGTACTAACCCCGCCCACCCGTCCTTTGTTTTCTCAGAGGGTAGTACTTGCTAGTACTTGCTAAGATAAGGCTGATTCTGCCCCTATTAAACTTGTAAAAATTTGTTAAATTTCAAAGGTGTTAAATAGCTTATTTCCATAGTAGCGAATTATAGTTCTAAATCTGACTGGATATTTATTTTTTAACAACTCAGTCATTAATTTTTTTGAGTCACCCTGTATAAGCAAATTTAAAAAATATTAATTATATACATATTAAAAATAAATCACAAGTATAGAATTTTCATATTTTGCACATTCAAGAATATATTAAGCAATATTTTGAGGTGACGTCATCAATTTTTTAGGGGGGATGAGCACATACATTTTGATCAAAAATTTACCATGCTTATGATAACTTGAAACCATTTTCAAGATTTCAAAGGATCCGGTTTTGCAGTTCCTGATTAAATAAATAAAATAAATTCACGCATTCACTGATATGTTTGTCACCCTGTTTATGCAAATTTAAAAAACATGAATACAGGGATAAATCACACACTGATCATATTTTGCACATTCTAGATAGGATTTATCAGACAAAATTTTGAGATGACGTTACCAATTTTTTGGAAGGGATAACCAAATATATTTTGATTAAAAATTTATTATGCTTACCATAAATTTAAAATATCTGCAAGATTTTAAAGCATTCAGTTTGGCAGATTCAAAACTAAATTTAAAATTTAGTTTTTTCAAAAATCTGGACGTTTTGGGTAAAATCTCAATACGGAGTCTTAAACTGCATGTGTATAGGGTTATTTTATACAATTTAAAACCCATTTTCTATGTACTATTTTGAAGTGACGTCATCACATTATTAGTGGCGATGGTTATACAAATTTTGGTTAGCGTTTTACCATTTACATGATACTCCTAATATAAATATACAAAATTTGTCAACAATCGGCCCAGTACTTCTGGAGATTATCTGCCTAATAAAAATCGGGACGGCAGACAGACGGACAAACGGAAACGGGAGACCTATTTCTTCGTACTCTAGGGGTCATGAAAGATCGAGAAAACGTAAAAGTACAGAGTCGGCCGACGGACTCGATTTCAATACTTCCTTCGCTTACCCTCGGGAAGTTAAAATAAGGGAAAGTTTAAAACAGCGATTAAAACAAGAGCTAAATCAGTAATAGAAAGGATATAGACATAAAGAACACGAAGAACGTTTTCGGGGTCAACAAAAATGGAAACTAAAAAGTGGAAAATGATCGAAAATGATTTAAACAGGATTTCCCGCGCCTCCGAAGTTCAGTCCAACAAATGTCGCTTCTTTAAAAAATTATAAAATTGTACTAAAATAAATCTAGATACCAATAACAGTGTAACAAACTAAATGACAACCTATATATTTTTAACATCCTATAATTGTGTTTTGACACCTTCTAACTTTTTTGTGTTTGTCTACGACGTCAAGCTTTTTCTTTAAATAACGCCCCATATAGTTTTTCACTTCGCCATCCATGATATGAAACGGATTAACTATTGTTCCAGGATATGAAAGCATTGGTAAAGTCCAAGGCGATGCCTTCACTCCTAGTGATTTTTTCATTTCAAAATTTTCCGATCAACAATCTCAACACGTGCCGTCCAGTACTAATAATAGAACAATGGGAGAAAAAACCTCAAGGCGGATTCATAAACCACAACTACAGGAGTATGTTATTTTATAAAATTTAAATCCTACTTACTATGAAAAATTTGGAGGGGATGTCATCACACAGTTGGTGGGGATGATTAGGTAAATTTTGATTAATGTTTCACCATCTCTATGATATTCTTGACATACACGGTCCGGTAGTTTCGAAGATTATCTGTCTAATAAAAATCTAAACAGACGACAGACAGACAGACGGAAACGGTAGTCTAAGTGTCATGAAACGTCGAAAAAACACGAAAGTAACCATTTACCCGATGGTCCCTATAAATGAAAATATGCCACACAGAAAATGACAAAGAAATATAAAAAAGCACAAGAAATGATAAAAAATATACATTAGAGAGCTAGAAAAAACAGATAAGAAGCCTCATTTAGACACGATGCAAAATAATTATGCAAAATATTAAAGCAACTTATAGGAAAGAAACACGTACAAACAACAAGACTGATGGAAAAAAAATGAAAATTAGACAAAAATGAAGGAATAATACAAAAGAGAAGGGTGGACTACTTTAGAGAACTTTATAAAACAGAAAACTACTCTGTAACAAAACGAGAGAATAAATAAGAAAAATAATCGAAACACTGAAAAATGGTAAAGAAGTAGAACTTTACTAATGAAAGTCTACACAGAATATTTGCCAAAATTAAAGAAACATCAAACTGTATTCTACCTTCAAAATACTGACAACACTGTAGTATTGAATTTGAAGTTTGACATGGGGGAAAACAAGGATAGGTTATAATTAATTTATATTCAGTGGCAGATTTTGGAAGGGTTTTGACGTTTTTAAGCGTTTTAAAGAGAAATTCAAATTCTGCAAACGTCAATAAGTATAACTCACTTAATTTGTTTGTGCTTGCGTGTTTCGTGAAGACAACTTTGACATTCGTTGAAGTTTTAACGGTATCAATTGCAGTACCGCTCTAAAAATATGAAAATCACCAGTGGCAACTGAAATCAACAAGTGATGCACTTTTATACAAGAAGATTTAAAACTGTTATACGTGAGGAAGGATCTTTTTTTTTAATTTTTTTCTTTAAATTTGACTGGGCGGACGAGAGAGAGAGAGAGAGAGAGAATAAAATTTTGTGTACGCTCTAGACTATGGGATTAAAGTTTATTACAAAATCGGGTGATTGTTTTTTAATTTTCTGATCTAGTCACCTAAAAGTTTATTGAGAGAACAAATTTGATGTAACTTGACACGAAAAATAAAAACAAAGCACAATTGAGCTTATATTAAAACCACCAGACAAGTTGTATGCTATAAGAAACGTAATTTGGTATCTTAATGGGTATCGAAAACTAGATGAGAAATTTAAAAAATCACACGATATTTATATAACTACAACAAAAGAATACTTTAAATCATTTGACGAAATCGTGAAATGTTTTGTAGATTGCTAAAAAAATTAAATTATTAAATATTTAAAACTGTGGGAAGTATACCATTTTCCAAAAAAAAATGTTTTGTCAAAATGATTTGTTTAGGACCGCAGTGGTATCAATATGTTCTTGCGTAGTAAATTCGCGGAAAGAACATTTTATTCTTGGTGTCAATATGTTCTTGTGTAGTAAATTCGTGTAAAGGACATTTTATCCTCACACTTTGACCTTCCACTATTACAACCAAACTCCAACCGCGCCACTGCATAATAAACTCACCAGAGAAACAGCATTGGTGGCCCCGATGGTGCCGAGCGCCTCCTTGACAAGATCCATGAGGGCCTTGTTGCTGTGCGCCGCCTCCTTGCCTCCCTTCAGGAGCAGGCCGTTAGCAGAAGCGATGGCCAGCGCCGCCACCTGGGGCAGCGAGTCCGGCCGGGACTCGAAAATCACCAGAAGAACCCCGATGGGAACGGTGATTTGTGTCAGGTCCAGCCCCTCGGCCAGCTTGGTCCTCCTGAGGACCCTGCCCACGTTGTTGTGGCTGGAGTCAGCGATCTGCTTGAGTCCCACCGCCAAGTTGCGGAGCTTGGCCGGGGTGAGGGAGAGCCGGGAGAGCAGGGGCTTCGCCAGCCCGGATTTTGTCGCTTCTGATAAATCTTTCGCGTTGGCGTCAAGGATTTCCGATTGCTTCGATACAAGCAGATCTGCGAGAGTATGTACACACGACGCCCTCTGTTCGGGAGTCAGGGTCTGGAGCAATCTTCCGCCGGCACGAGCTGGAATGAGCAAGCGAGTTAGGATAAATAAATATTGTCACTTTAAGGGAAAATATTGTGTTGTCTTGGAGAGGCGGATTGGAGAGTCAACAAGTGAGTTGGGGGACGGCGGAGGAAAGGGCATTTGCCGGCCCGAGCGATTTGAAGAAATGGTAACGAATGGGAAGTCGTCTGCAGGGTTTTCCAGACCGATGGCGTCGACAACTACACGCTTGACGAAATACAACACTTGTGTTGTTTGATACGGTTTAACAGGACACTAAATTTAAAATTGTATTTAGGGCGGATGCAACTTGTACTACTAAAAATGTATTCTTTTAAATATGTGTAATAATAATATTAACGATGAATAATGAGAATAACATTATTTATTTTTTCATTTCTTCTGAGAAGTAAAAAGTAATCCTATAAATCAATCTACTTTATCGACTTTCTCGGGGTAGGTTAATAATCTTCGTTAAAATTCTCTTGGTAAAATTAATATTAACACTGTGCCTACTATACATGAATCGCTGAGCAGTGCGTATTCACGTGAAAGTCGCATGAACGGTCAGTGTTAAAGACCCATTGAATCTATTGTGGCTTCCAGACACGTGCCAACCAAAAGGTACGTTAGATTTGTTGTCTACGAGTTGATCAGGTGCTGTTATTACTGCATTGTGTAGTGTAATGGTTTAAATTTCCATATACTTATTCAGTGATCCCTAGCACGAAAGCATCTCAGACCTTACTCGCTGTAATAATTTGCATCCGATTTCAGTGGTCTGCAAAACATTGGCACATTAACGCCGTATAAACTGCTTTTATATTTTATTTGGGAAATTTACAATGTTTTTCTCTACTTTACAAAATATTTGGTCGTTTCATTAAAAAATGCTAACTTGAAATAAAATATTACAGCGGTAAAAATAGTATATTATTATACTAGTTTAATAAGACGTCTTATTGTGGCATGCATGGGTTTGGGGCACGACGAGCGCAGCGAGGAGTGCTCCAAAGGAATAAGTGCCACAATGCGTCTTATTAAACGAGTATAATATACTATTTTTTCTACTTTGCATCTGATCGGAAACAAAAAATTAATAAAAATTCAAGGTTATAATTTAAGGTCTTTTAATTCGAAAGGTTAGTTGTAGCGTTGTGGCTAACTTCACAATGTCAAAGTTTGACATCTAACCACCGAACACTAACAATCTAACCTAAGTTTGCCTCAAAAAATGGAAGAAGGGGGCCCCACTTCTTGCACGCCACCTGAAATACAGTTTAACAATTGATCCCATTATTAAACTGGTTTCGGTTTAATAATGAGGCCATTTTTAACGCAAAGTAGAAAAAATGATATTATTAACTATAATTTAGATTTTATTGTTGCTTCCTGTGTCACAAAATTTAACAAAGTTGCAATGTTTTTTCCATTTTTGTACGAAAATTTCTTGAAATACGTATCTCCTCTCAAAGGACTTCTGAAACTTGTCGGGATAGACGACATCAAAGAACTATGTCCAAGCTTTTCAACAAAATTATGTAACTCAAAAGGAAATAATACAAAAATTGGTTGAAGGTTGTTTCAACACCAGTTCCTTCACCCCTGAAAGACACTCCAACAAATCCCAGTCCATAGAGAAATTATAAATTTTATTTTGCGAAAGTAAAAATATGATTCTACTTTTTTGAATATTTGTATAGTTTGCTCTTCTGAATTCATTAATGTGTCATATTTTAATCACCCATTCTCAGCCACTGCCTTTAATTTGAACGCTGTAGGCTTTATGTTACTTAAACTCACTTTGTTAAATTGTTTATGTTTGGTCTGGCGCGGAGTGCGGGGAAATCGAGTGAACGTTCAAACAACTGCTCCAAAAGTATAACTGCATTGATAAAGTGCAAGATTTTGCCTGTTTCTACTGAGTTTTCGCACTGGAAAATGTTCTAATCAACATTTCAGGAAGGACATGTATGTTAATTCCGACACGTGCAATATACTAGTAGTAAAAATTATAGATAGTACTAGCTACAGTGTAAAAAAAACAGCTACCTTCACCATGTTTATGGTACGCCCACTTATACCTATACTAGTATAAAATGAAAATGTGATAATACAATTTGAATTTTTTTGCGAAAATATGGATGCCAAAACTAAAAAATCAAGGCGGATTCATAAACTACAAAGAGTATGAATTTAAGCGGAGTTTGCCACACAAAACTTTGCGGGGACGTCATCGAGGTGTTGGTGGACTAGGAAAATTTTGGTTAGAGCTTTACCAAATTTCATCATACCTATAAAATTTGATTCGCTTTACGCGCGAGAAGTAAAACATCTGGAGTGTCCCGTTTCGAAATTAAATTTACTGTCAGGAAAAAAAAATCGATTGCGAAAATGCCTTTAAAAGGATTATCTCATTCATGCTTTCAAAAAAATTTAGTGGTTGGTAGTGAGGATTTTTTGTCTCCCCACTAGACGGTCGGATGGATTCAGTTAGACGAAGCGAAAAGACGTACTCTCGAGGTGTTTTGCTCGAGGTCACAGGTGTGTGACAAACCTGATGTTTCATTTTATTAGAAAAAGTTAACCAAAAACAAATGTACCGTAAATTAAAGGGACACAATCGTTACTCCCATGTGTAAGTAATATCAGATGATTGTATTAACAACGCGCCATTTGTTCCGACTAGCCCCTTGAAATCACTGACTGACCAAGACGCGTTCGGACTTGTAGAGAGATAAACTTGTTACAAAGTGAATTATTTAGACTTAATTAGTTTAATTGTGATGTGTCTAAAGTGCTAGATGGTTTTTCCTAAATCATTTTTTAGATTTAATAATTTCTCATTTGGCCATCCACTCACTTTAGACAAACTATAGAAATATGTTCAATTTATAATGAGCTGTATTTAGGTGACATAAATTTCTAATATTCGATCTAGTTTTCGGTATCATGAGGTCTATAAAGATGAACTTAGCCGTGTACGGTGAATTGATACACAAACAGATGACACACACAGGAACGCGAGACCCACTCGTAGGATGAACCCTATTAAAATACTTCCTTACATTTACGCTTTTATATTCTGTGGTGTCCCATTTCGAAATTAAATTTAGCGCCAGAAAGAACAACAGATCGCGGCGTTTGAAAACCTGTACGTTTCATTTTATTAGAAAAAGTTAACCAACGGACAAATCCATGGTAAATTAAAAGGACATCATCGTTGCTCCCATGTATGTATTGCGATGCCAACGCGACGTGGAAATTCCACAATTTGCGTCATTTATTTAGACTAGCCGCTTAAAATCACTGACCATCTGGTGGAATTTCCAGGACGCGTTCGCACTTGTCAAGGGATAAACTTGTTATTTTATTTCAGGCAATCCCTAGAAATTATGCATTTTATTTTTTTGTATGACAACCGAAGAATTAGCAATTTCATAGAAGAGATTTGATTTTCCCCATGTTTCTGTATTTTATTGAAAGTAAAGCTCGAATTATTAACACACTTGTGAATGTGATTTTCAAATGTTTGACTGAGATTTGTTTTGGTTTTGAAATAATTATGCTAGGGATTGTGGTGACCAAATTTGAATTAAAATTTCGCGCTGAAAAAATACAAAGTCGCGAAATCGCGTTTGAATAATTTGAATGTGAAACAAATTTTCATTTAGAAAATCCAGAGACTTTAAATACATAGACTGGCTGTTAGTAACATTTCTAATGCATTTTGGTGAAGCCAGGGCGCATGGTAGTATGGACGCCATTGCTATAACTTTTATGTCAAATTAAGTGAGGTTGTGGTGGTTAGCAGCAGTAGTTTCTAGCACAGAACGTTTCTAGACCTCGAAATAAAAGTGGTTGTGTGTCGGGACTTACGAGATTGTTTGTAAATATGGCCATTAAAAATGATTTGGTAACTAAAATGTTTGCCTTAACTTTGCAAAGTAGGACCATACATTTTTTTTCTACATAATGAACATTTGTTTAGTATGGATTAGTTGGACGTAAATAATTCTTATTTTAATTTATTGCTTAAATTAATTTTGAGAAATTATTTGACTCTCGGAATAGGTTATGAGTGCCGCTTAAGTACTGAGCGTGAAAAAGCTATCTCTTTAAGACAAAAATTCACGAAATTAATTTTGTTTCAAGGACATTAATATTTTTAAAGGAATTTACATATACATATAGATATTATTATGCTAAATAAATAATTACAATTTGTTGTCTTTTTTATTTAACATTTTAAATTGCATTTTGTGACCGGAAAATTCAAATTTCGCGCACTTACGGTTATAAGCAATATGGCGGTCGAAAAACTTCACGTTTTTCCTGACACAGCCAGTCTATGTATTAAAGTCTCTGAGAAAATCGTTAAACATAGGCAACCATGTGTAAGTTTAGTTCTTTTCTGGTAGTTGGTAGCTCTCCCAGGGAATTTCTGGGGAGTATGTAGAGAAAGGGTTGGTAGTGAAGTGTGCTTGCTTTGTAGAGGGGTGACGTGTCACTGTTGTTTTATTTTGGGGAGTGAAAGCACGCCTTAAAGCAGCTAGATTAAGTTTAGTTGGTTTGGTAGTTAAAAAAAGGGGGGGGGAAGCCTTTGTTTAACTAAAATTAATCGAACCGATGACAACGCTACAGTTTCCCCAAAAAGCGTAACTAACTATTGCTGTTTATCTAAGCGGAAATATGCGAATTTTTGACCGACGCCAACACGTGGTGTAATTTTCTTTTATTGTTTGTAAATTCACAGTTCATGTTAGGATTTTAATCGTCACTGGTTCTAACACAATTTAACAGTCATCAGATTGTTCAGATAATGCTTTTCTCGCGACGAGGGATGCATTTTGTGTTTATTTACCATGTGTTTGTTTGGGATAAGCTGGGGACAGTCCACGATATAAACTCTCAAAGCTAAATGTTTTTAAGTAACCAGTGACTTGGATCAAAGCATAATTTCACATCATGTAAATTCTTTGTTTGAATCGTTGATAAAGTGTGGCATAATTTAACA